GTTGTTCCTCTATTGATTGTGCCTGGTTTTGGTCAGAAATGTGTATTAATGATTTGAATAGCCCCTAAATAATTGTCAGATAGCTCCCAGGAAAAGTTGCTGATCAGAATCGCAGTCAGTGATAACTTTGAGGGCTTTTTTCTACTGAACTCGTTGACCATTGTCACTTGGACAGATTTCCAGCATAACTGACTTCCAGCGTTCCTTCCATAAGGTTTGATGTGTAAGTCTTGTCCTTTCCTCTAGGCTCTGGTGTTCCACATTTAGCTCTTGGGTTCCTTCCTTACCCAGCCCGTTTTTTAAACTGTGTGTCTGCTCTGTAACAGTGGTGGGGATCGGTGTTACACAGCAGACACACAATTTAAAAAAATTGTAGATGCAAGCATTGAGAACATAGGAATAATTTTTCTTCCAAATGAATTGTAGGTGTTAGCAAAAAACACAGCAGGATAAAGCTTGAAGCTGTTTTTATTCATCTGCTTAGAAATAGTTAAATCAGTTGAAATGCTTATTTTTCTTATTGGTGATTCTGATGGTCCAGCATGTTTCTGGCAAGGCAGCCTAGTGATGTGCAGACCTGTAGGATCTGAGAATAGTGTTAAATTGCTGGCAGTGGCTTGGATTTATTGTTTGACAAGCTCTCGTCAACAGATGCAAACCCAACTTCCAAATCACAGTGTTATTGAAGAAAATTACACATGGAATCATAGGGTATTTTGGTTTGGAAGGGACCTTTAAAGGTCATCTAGTCCAACCCCCCTGCAATGAGCAGGGACATCTTCCACTAGATCAGGTTGCTTTGAGCCCTGTCCAGCCTGACCTTGAATGTTTTCAGGGATGGGGCATCTACAACCTCTCTGGGCAACCTGTTCCAGTGTTTCACCACTCATATTGTGAAAAATTTCTTTTCCATTTAGTCTGAATCTACTCCTTGTCCTATTGCAGCATGTCCTACTAAAAAATCTGTCCCCAACTTTGTTGTAAGACCTCTTTACACGTGAGATTGGTCAGTGTGTCTCTTTTGGATTGAAGCTCTTCGCTGCACATCTGTTACAGTCATAGACCATCTTAAACAACTTAAAACTATTAAAACATTGAAGCTGATCAAGGAAACCTGGTTGCTGTGCTTAACACTGCTATTTGGTTTGACATAATACCTGTTCTTTGAATGTGATACATTTTTTCAGCCTTCACCAGAAAATGATTTATGAACTAACATGTCTCTTCAGTACGTTCAGAGGCACAAGGGACAGGGAGTGAGGAAGGGAATTGGTTGCCGCAATTGCATTCTCTCTTTGAGTAGCAAGTTGAGATTTTTGTGTTAGATGGCTTCTGAGAAGTGAGTGTTAATGTCTGAGGACTATAATGAGATGTTCTTGAGCCATAAAACTGCTGATCTGGGTATTAAACTATTGTTACTATGTGAAAAACATAGCTGTTCTCTCAATAAAAGACCTTTAAAGTGGCAAATGCTTTGTCTAGGGAGGTGTAGTCTGTAAAAGCCTCCCTTTACTAACCTGATGTTGCAAATAGTTAAATGCAATTTATGTGTAAGTTGCATATCTGATTGAGTCCTTCTGTTTTATACATTAAGCCCTTCTGTTTTATAACTAAGTTTAATGAGCCATTTAGATCCCTGCTTCTGTTCATATTTAGTAGTGGAAGGAGGTTTTGTCTGTTTAAAGGGTGGAAGGGTTTTTGTGTCTTTAAAAAAAGATGGCATGACGCAAAAAATAAACTGGAATTTGTGAATGGCAGTTCCTTAAATAGAAGCAGCAAAGCACTCTGATATAGGATTAGTCTCCTTGCTCTTTATTGTTGTATCCTTGTTACTAGTATTTTTTACCTTTAGTTAGAGTTACTTCCTAGATGCTGTACCTATGACCTCTATGTAGAGGCACTTGATACTTACCTGGAAGTGCATAAAATGATGTCTAGCTTAATTGTATGGCAAAGTCTTTGAATTAGTGTTGGAAAAGGGAATAAACCAGGATGAGATGTTTGCTAGAGGTACCGTACTTCCAGGAACATCTGGTAGCAGAAGGTCTGGATAACATTTTGGCCTTGCTAAAATCTCCCTTTGAGGTTTTAAGCATGCAAACATATGTGATTTGGCTTCAGTTTTAGCAGGAAATTATTGCCATAAAAGGGTCATGGGGAGCCTCACATTAAGCAAAACAGATAAGGCTGTTTTTAAAAAAAAAAAAACCAACAAAACAACCTGGCATATTAGCTTGGGCTTCTAATATACCAAAGACTTCATGCAGTGGGACAGATACTAGTGAATGCATTTCAGCTATATTTGTCCTGATAGTACACAACTTTAGAATACATGTGGAGACATCGGGGTTGTTAACTATGAAATTCCCGTCTGTACTACAAAATGAGATGGTATCATATGGCATCAAACTCTGGTCTCCTGTAAATAAGTTACAGATGGAGCATGGTGTGCTCATCCACAGTTTTTGGGCAGACAAGTTTAAAAGCAGTCCATTCACAAAGTGTGGATGCTTTAAAGCCCCGGGTTTGTCCATGTAACTGAATCTGTAAGCCTGTAAGTATATCTCTATATGTTGATGATGAGAGTCAAATAATTTGCTTTGCCTAGCAAATGCCTTTTATCTTATGTTGGTATACATTTAAGTCAATGTATTGGTATAAATGCATAACTTATATATTTACAAATGCATGTGTGTATAAGTATGTATTTGGAGGGGAGCAGGTCTGGGAGTCGCTTTTGACTAACCAGGAAAGCTCATCCCATAAGCAGTGGAATTGCATAGAGTTGCATTTCCTACTGATTCATTATGTTTCTGTAGCGAGCCCCTCTTTTGTCTAGCAACTAGCAGCTGGGCAAGAAATGGTGTGGTTTGTGTCTAATTTTGAGCTAACCTGTTTATAAGGTCCCTTCCAACCTAAACCTTTCTATGATTGACACGTATGCTGGTTGTCTTATCAGCAAGTGAGACAACTGTAAATGTTGAACTCATGCTTCTTTCTCGGTGGAGAGCATTAACTTCCCTCTTCCATCCATCTGTTGGCCTTTGGAAAATGTGATCTTGTTTGTCCTCCAAAAATCTTTTTCTATAATTATCTAAGTTCAGTTCTTATTCTAGGCCTGAAACTGAACTCTATAGGATAAAAATGTCAGAACAAGGATAATAGATATCACTTCATCAAGTAGTTAATCTATTTTAAGTGCACACTTGACTCAAACAGCTTCTGTTCTATGGTTAAGCGTTGTTATATATTTGGAGTTTCAGTCAACATTGCAAGAGTTGTGGAATTGTGGATGAAAGTTCACTATTCCAGTACTTTTTTAGGCATACCTGAATAAATTTATAAAACATACTTAAAGAACCACAAGAAAATTCTTTAACAATGGTACTAAGTGTCTTTATATTAAGAAAGAAAAAAGAAAAAAAAAAAAGAAAAGATGAATAGGAAAACTTGACCTTCCCCTGGAGCGGACTCACAAGTTTTGCTGCAGCCTGGGTTATTTCAGATAAAGATGTGGAAACTAGTTCTCAGTTTAAAATTCTCAAAGCTTTTTGGTGCTGTTGTTTAAATGTTAATTGCCATAGTATAACTATTTGCCTCCCGATGGGAACACCCTGGCCGTCCTGCCAGAAGTCAGCCAGGCAGAGCAACCTGATCTAATATTAAGGTTAGCTCCCCTTTGTTTTCAGGGGTTATATAGGTGACCTCCAAAGGTTCCTGTTGACCTAAATTACTCTATGCTTTAGTCTCCACTTAATCGTGGTTAACTGCAAGTGTCTTGAGTTTCAGGCATCAAAGACTTTAAAACTGTCTGCAGTTAAGCCCTTTCCCACAGACTGGAGGAGGGCCCTTGTTTTGGCACCTTTGCCAGTTACCCAAAAGTGAGCATAGGCATGTTTCTGTATTGCTTGTACCTTGGGAAGCAATGTGATGATGTATTATGGCTGCAAAGGAGTAACTACACTCTGCATTGATTTAACATAGATTTTACCTCTGTGCTGGAAGATGGATGGAGTGATCAGTTAAAGTGCTCAAGCACATAACTGAAATGACATAGCTTCTCCTGAGGATAGCTGTAGCAGGACAATATACCTTATTAACTGAAAATAGTGCCAAATAAGCCTGTTGGGTTTTGTTTCCTTCAAGTTAAGAAACGAACTTAAATCACTTTTGTGCTTACTGATACAAGCATGCCTTTAACTGGCTTATGTAAACTTGTTTTAAAGTGATCAACTGTAGTGATCAGTAATTGATTTAGATTACTAAGACCTTACTGACTTACTAACATCAGGTAGTGTCTTTCCAAAGAAGAAAAGGGACCCAGGTTCGCATGTTGGTTTTGGTGGTTTTTTTTTTGGCTTGTGTTCTCACACTTGAACCGTATTGTTTGCCAGTTTACCTAGTGATTAGGTAAATGGTACCCTGAATAAATCTAAAAGTAGCCCTTAGCTGTGCTATTCCAGCTAGCCATTAGATTATTTTTTTTTAATTCACAGGTAAATTCTCCCTCCCTGGATCATTGTGTATAGACTTTTGAGGTTATAATAGTTCTATCCTACTTCATGGTTTCTCTCTTCCAAAAGTCTACATCGACAACAAGGAGAGTCTTCTGTCTGATATTTCTGACTTTGGGAGGTCACTAGGCTGGGGAGATGGGATCTTGAAAGAAGTATCTAGACTCATTAATACTGTCTCGTCTCAAAAGAATTTGATTTGAAGTAGACACTCCTACTTGCCTTTCCTATTTCTGTTGAAAAGGAATTACTATCCTTTTTATAAAAGGGAGAGCGTGAGGTAGAGCATTGGCTGCATGTGAATGATGGCAGATGCTGTTCTGAATGCTGAAAAAGGCAATGTAATATGAATAGTCATATTCAACTAGAGCTTGTTAGTGATCTGATTACCATACCTTACTGAAGGAACTACTGCACTTGTACTAGTATGTTGATGTACTCTGCTTTTAAATACATTTCAGTGATTGTATTCCACCTTTTTTCCAGAAATGTTACGAACAAAAGCAGTACAAAAATGGACTCAAGTTCTGCAAGATGATCCTCTCTAACCCCAAATTTGCTGAACATGGAGGTAATTGCAGATTCAAAAGTTGTTTTTTTTCTCCTGTCATGAGTTTAAATGTATATTCAATGCTATTGGGAAAGAAGGGAGCCAGTTGCTGAGTATTATTCTGTCCTTATGACTGAACAATTAATCTGGATTTTCAGTCTTTGTGCATTCAGACCAAGTTTCCACCCTAGCTTAGTCAGAAACACTCCTGTGCAGTGGGATGATGAAGATCGAGATACATGGTGGAAGCACACTTCAGTGAAGCTTCCAAGTAAGTTGCCTTTCTAGGTTTCTGGGTCAGAATGCTAGTGTGGGTTTTTCTTACATTCCTACTTAATAGCAAGCTCAGCCTTTTTTTTTTTTTTTTCAATATTACATGAAGGTAATCTGACAATGAATTAAAAATCTTGCTGCTTTTCTCAAGTACATATGCTACATTTTCTGTACTGCAAATTGTTACTTATAAGGAGCAAAATTAAGTGTAATACTGTTGCTGCTAAGACTTGAAGCTAATGACAGAATCTGGAGAACCTGTTCTGATAAATATTGCAGGAAACTGGACAGCAAAATGTTGCTTCTGTTTACATCTGTCAGAACTTAATCCTCAGTAGGATGCTCTAGTCTTTCTGTATTACAGGGTTTCTGTTGCATGGTTCAGCCAATCTTTCCTTCTGATGCAGTGAATCTTTCTTGTTTGTCCACTGTTGAAGCAACCTAACACTGAGTGTGCATGTACCGTGTCAGTAAAATTATTTTCCTATTTGACATTGTCAGACCTTGGCAAAACGTTCAAGTAATCCTTTTCATGCTTCTGTCAGTGTCTGCTTTTTCATCGTTGTCTTCATTACTTCCCTAGAGATAAAAGTACAGTTTTCTTGTTGCCTCAAAGCTAGAGCGGCTTGTCCAGCTCTGACCTAATGCGTTTGTCTCTACTAGCATTTGTGTTTTTATAACATCTCAGTATACATCTGTCTTTTCTGCTCTTGCTGCCTCTTAAACTTTTCCAGGACAACTAGCTGCCTTGGCAGTCCACATACTACTTGGGCTCTGAGCCACTAATGGCTTTGAAGCTTGGGAGCAAAGCCTGGAATGAACAGCTGAAGCAGAACTAAGCCAATGAAATGATCTGATGGGAAGCTGCTCTGTTGTCACACTTAGCTTCAAGAGACAAGGAATTTGAAAAATTTAGTGAGAAGGTGACAAACAGATGGATTGCTGTGGCTGGACAGTTATCTCCCTGGTGTGGGAAGGTAGGAGTAGCTTGCCCTCCTTCCCACAGTGCAGCTATTATTTTTGAAGCTTCCTGATATTATTGGGAAGGTATAATTCTAGCTTTCTCTCTTCTTACAGTGTGGATGTAGGACAAGTTAAAAACAAAACAAAAACCTTGACTTATTTTGGGTCATCATTCCCTTTATGTGTACTTTTACAGAAAACAGTGTTAAACAGGTCTATCAGTGAAACTTTAAATTGCTGTTAGGGCTGACTTTGAGATGATGGTCCATTGCCATTAGTACTGGGGAAGAGACTGCAACTGGAGGAAAATCAGAATACTATGATGAAAATGTGACTAATAATCTTCTGACAGGGACCAAAACTAAGTGGTCTCTTATTTATCAAAAAAAAACCCAAAAACCTGGAGCCGCTTTCAGGCATAGTGCATGTTACATGCAAGGTGTTTCCCACAGTGTTGCTTGAATAATGGGGCAAGAGGGGAAGTAATAGTAGTAATACCTATGTATTATTTGGAATTTTGTGCCTCTTGCAATGTGGATTAAAATGCTAGAATTTGAGAAGGTCTTTACCCCCCAAATACTGTAGAAGGAAATACACTTCTCTTAACTAATGCTTTGTAAGCAACGTGTAGTAGCAGAGCTGACTGTGACAGAGATGTTTCTTATGGTGTGCCACTACCTAATGAATCTTTTTTTCTTGTTCCACCTACATAGAACTTTAACACAGACTGAGAAGCTCTCTAAAATTCCTTTAGCTTATTGTTAACTCCCTTAAAGCCAGTTAAATGTATTTATTAATTAAAAAAGTTTGTGATGTCTGTGTTAATCACATCTGTATGATATTCTGCAGTGGTCTCTTTAAGACTAATTTCAAGAAAGGAAATCCTTCCATATAGCAGTCTTCAGCTGTGCTAGGCTGCTATCCTGATCTAAATTTATCATTTAATGGGGAACTTCACTGTGTAGCAACTTCAAAGGATATCTGCACTGTGAAACTGGCATATGGGAAGTCAGAAACATAAGTATATGATATGTCTTACAGAGACGCTTGCGATGAAAGGACTGACCTTGAACTGCTTAGGGAAGAAGGAAGAAGCGTATGAATTTGTTCGTAAAGGACTTCGTAATGATGTAAAGAGTCATGTCTGTATCCTTTGTAATTCAAAACCTGATCTCCTTGCTATGAGTTCTCACTTTGGTGTGTATGATTTTGTTGCTACATGAGCGCATACTTTTGAAGTACATAGTATGGTCTGTATAGAAAGTCTAAGATAAGGTATGTACAGGGAAATTAATTTGAAATTAATTTGCAACCAAATACTTGAAATGAGGTTTTATTTTCCTTTCTGCAATTTTGCAGAACCTTTAATGAAAATGCCTTTTAAGAAAAGACCATCCATGATGTTTACTTTCTGCAGAGAATAGGTATGGCTTGTAAAATTTGGCCTTCTCTAAAGTTTTCTTCTCTTTTAAAGGTATAAGAAATCCAGTCTAGACGTGCTCTGAAAATACCTATTTTGCCACTAAATTTTAGATAATGGTTTAGGTCAACTGGCTTGGTGAGTGCTACTCTATTCTAAACTCGTCTTCCAAAAGTTTATACCTGCGAAATACTCCTAGCCACTCAACAGCTTTGGGAGTAGCTGTCTTCTGTTTAAGCCACAGGTATGAGGGTGCTTCAGATTTGCACAGAATGCCTTACTTATTCTGTATGCATTTGAGTTGGATGTTATGGGGCAAATTTCACATTAAAATATTTGTTTTTAACATTTAAACAAAAAATCTTCTGTTAGTATCTCAGCTGAAAGACACTTTTTGATGGCCATCTAGTTAAGAAAGAGGGATGGCTGTTTATACTTTCTTATATTAAATGTCCAAGCAGCTTGAGACTGGGAAAAACCTCTAAGTGTATGGAGATCATCAGAGTTACTAGAGGTATGCCACAGGACAGGCAAAGATAATTTGTGTTGTCTTGATTTTTATAAGCTGGACAGCTAAGGAATACCAAAGCAGCTTTAATGTATGCGTGTACATTACATGTAATGTAAGTCTTGTGCCTTAAATTGGGGAGCTAAAGAATCTGGGCAAGTTAGTGGAGAGTTTGGGGGGATTCTGATTCCTAAACGAAATTCCAGGGTGGATTTGATTAGCATCCCTAATTCTTGTCTGCAGTTCATGCCGACTCTGACTTCCCTACAAATGCTGGAGGGATCTGTGCTTTTTCAGCTCTAATTGGGGCAGTGGGGTGGTGAAAGGGACCCTCTTGCTGGACAAGTTGGGGTTTTTTTTTGAGTTTTAGTGGATTTTATTACAGTTTTACTGACTTGTTAAACTTAATGTAAGAAAACTACAAGGTTGTTGTTGTTTTTTTTCTGAATTCAGAGAAAGTATAAACATCTAAATCCTATTAGGCACAAAAGTGTTTTGTATTTTTTTAAGCTGCATACATAGAACTAGCTCTGACAAAGCAAGAAGTTCCAAATTCTGCATTCAGGCATGTTACAGCTCTACAGAAAACCCCCTCGAGTTATCTGTCTATGCAGAATTACTTCTCTAGTGAGCACAAGCCAGCTGATACTGAATTAATTCCAGACTAGGCATCAGGTTTGTCACAGTACTTTCAGTTGTCATCTCCTGGTAAATTCTAAAGAAATAGCAAACCTCTTTTACTATTACTGTATGTCAAGCACACCTGATGTGCTAACATAATGTCACTACCCAAATATCTGAATCACTCAGGACACTGTAGGAACACATGTGAGGCTGTCCAGAGCTGTCTACTATAATAAATTGGTGGCACTGTGCTTTATTGCCTGTTAAATGTTAAAATTTCTTAGTCTTGACTACTGTACACACTTATTTCTGAATGGGTTTATGCTTTTCTTTACTTGATTGCTTGGTGAAGAATATGATTTATGAAGGATTAAGCTGTATTACTAATTGGGTCCAAGAATGGTAATGATGCCTTATAAATTACTCAAAGTATCCTCTTAGCTTAAGTACGCTGCTAAAGTGCGCATAAGTTCTTTTGGACTGCATTGTCTTGCTCTAGGCAAGAATTTAAAATATCAGTAGTTGAGGCAGGTGTATGAAGGTGTTACTCAGGACGTGGATCAAAGTTAAATGTACTTGAACTCAAATAGGCAAGGCAGGATCTGTAGAAAGAAGTAGCAGTAGTAGACTAACTGCTGTAACTGTATGCAAAATTGTTTTGTCCCCGTTCCACCCGTTTAGTCTTAAATTGTTACAGCAGCAATCGCAGCTCTAGAGTCTTGTATCTTTTATTACTGATAAGTACAAACCTGCTTTGGATCTTCATATCTAGAACATGTTTCAGGATGTGAGTCTTTCTTAGAAAGAGGGAACTTAGTTCTGTTTCTTTGACTAATTTGACCAGGTTAACCCACTGAATTTCTTATGTGCTTTCTCAACTCTTTGAGATACAAAGTTTAGAAATCATTGTATCTTTGGAGGGAATAATTGCTTCTGTTTCAATTCAGTAGCATAAGAACTCTTAATACTTTGGTTATTAGCACTATGAGTTATGTGTAGCATCTTAATTGAAAGGGGATGAAGGATGTATATACTGATCCCCAAGATTTGCTGTGTTTTGCTGCTTCAGGGGCACATGCGACAGCTTCTTGAGACAACTTTTGAGCCACTTCCAGTTTGAAAACATAGTAAGTTCAGATTGGCTATTGTGGAAGATGTTGCCTCAGTGAGCTACTAGTAACCTGGAGTAGCCAAAGGTAGATCATGTGAAGTAATCTTTCTTTTAATATGACTCTTGGAGACTGAGGTAAACGCACACAGTGTACTGCGTTACTATGACACATCGGTTTCATGCTTTGAATTCAGAATCTTTCCAGGGTAAAAAAGGATGCTTGTGAGAGAAAAGTCTATTGAAATTACACTACTGATGGAAATCTGAGATGCTGAGACTATGACAAAGACTTTTGGTGCACAGAAATGCTAAGGTTTCCTTTTGTCAATGAATAAAATGTAACTCTGTGTTTATCTCTTACTGTAAAATCTGGAGACTAATAGGGGTTACAGATAGGCAAGAGAGGAAAAGTAAAACTTGTACACCAGTTGTATTGTTAGAATAACACACTTGTAGGGCTAAGAATTCTTACTGTAATTACAGTAGTATGTTTTAAACGATCTTTAAGGTCCTTTCCAACCTAAACCATTCTACGATTCTATGAATAACTCTTCTGGAGTTTGTGGAGTTGGGATCATTTAGTTTGTATAACAGTTTTTTGGGGGGTTATGAATGTGAAGATTTTTAAATGAGACTTACTTATTTGGAAGCATTTAATATTTTAAAAGGTATCAGTAAAGTCTGGCTACAGTAATCAAACAATTTATAAGGGCGCTGATCTTCAAAGAAGGTGTCAAGTTGGTTGGTCTGTAACACGAATGCACTGCAGTTACACTCACAATTTTCACAAAGTATCTTCCTTAATGTGCATTAGGTTGGCACGTCTATGGTCTTTTGCAGCGTTCTGATAAGAAATACGATGAAGCCATCAAGTGTTACCGGAATGCACTCAAGCTAGATAAAGATAATCTACAGATTTTGAGAGATCTCTCTCTGTTGCAGATTCAGATGAGGGATTTAGAAGGCTATAGAGTAAGTATTCTCTTTGAATGCTGTTATCATTCTCTTGTTATTCTATACCATTATTAAGTCTTTTGTTTGTAGTAATTCTATTGCTACTTCTTTTTGCTTTTTCAAAAGTGTTTAAAGCTCTTATTTAGGAAAGCATGGAAACATATTGCAGCAGAGCTCCATGTAATGTAGAGAACAGAACTAGAAGTACAATTACTCTGTACAATTTGACTTGTGGATCACTTTGTAATACAAGCTCTGGTTCTCAACTTGTTTTTCACTAAAATAATGAAAATTAAAAGGATAAGACTTAAAGCTTAGCAAGTTAGAGTGCTCACTGGTTATTGTGAAGTACTGCAAATGGTGTTTGGGGGCCAGGTACTGAAGGTGTGGGGTTTGTTTTCTTTTTTTTAAGAAACATACTGTTGTGTTTCTTTGAGTGTATGGGGAAACTTGCCCCATGATGACTGATTTCTTGAAACCCAATACTGATTTTATCATAAATAAAACCTGAAAATCCGTCTAAAACCAGAGTTAATAGTTTCAAAATGGCTGAACTGATTTATCTGTGAAAGGGAAAAGTCCTGCTCCTCTTCCATTCTGTATTTCATGTGAAGTAGAGGACTGGATTGTGGGATTTGGCATTAGTTGGTCTCCTCCACTGAGGATGTTGAATTTGCTAACGCAAGAAAGGGGAATAACTGACTGGGGGATGTGATTTGGCTCAGGAAAGGGTGTCTAAGAAGTACTGCAGCAGTGTAAGTATGAGAACCTTGTGCCTGGCATGAGCAGAGTGGGAATTTCAGTGGTAGTGAGCTCATGCTTTCTAATGGAAGCCCCTTTTCTGACGTTTCAAAGCTATATCTTTGGAAATAATTTAGGCCCTTAAGAGGTACTCTTGAAAATGACACCTTTTGTGTACCAAGAAGTAGATTTTTATGTTTTGTGCTATGACTCCTATATTTAGAATGTAGCCCCCAGATTTGAGACAGAAATGTGTTGCTCCCCCCTGTGCTGTTAGAGTTTCAAAAATCGCCTAGGGCTTTTAAAAGATCTTTTAAAATATTAGCCATAGCAGTGGTAAATCATGAAAAAGATGTAGTAACTCTTTTTTTTAACATCTCTCTTATTTTTAAATTGCTTTTCTTTCAATGAAGGAGACAAGATACCAGCTACTTCAGCTGCGCCCCACACAGCGGGCTTCCTGGATTGGATATGCCATTGCATACCACTTACTAAAAGATTATGATATGGCCTTAAAACTACTTGAAGAGTTTAGGAAAACCCAACAGGTAAGACTTACTGTTCTGGAAAGAGAATGCTTTCTGTGTAAGAGACACAATCTGAGGAATTGGTTCTTTGTAATTAGGAAGAACTAATTAGGAACCAGGTAGGAATTAGGAAGAAACTTATTTGTGGAGCTTTCTGGTTTGAGCACAAAGATTTCCCGGAGTTTAGCAGCTGATGCGAATTATACAGGAATACTTTTTCCCCTTACAAATAGGCTGGTAGGGTTGAGGATATAAGGTAGACTGATGTGGAGTAACTGGCTAGCTTAATGTTTGTGAGATGTGTAGCTAAAGGAAACCTGTGATGATCCTGTCCCTTCACAGTAGGTAAAACTTCAGAAAATACTGTTTCATGGTGGGTGTGCTCATTTGCCCTCTTCTGCCATAGCCTGGATGCCATCACGTCTCTACAAAGAATGTGAAAAAACTTTTTCATTGCTTTGTATGCATCTGTGTATTGTGCACTTGAAATCAGTGCTGGGTGTCAAAATAACATGAAAGTATAGCTGAAAATTCTTTGTTTGAGAAGATCTGGTGTTACTGAAACTTGGAGTAAATCAAATGGTACAATGCTAGAATTGCTGAGTATAACCTTTTTTTAAGAGACATTCCCATGTTCTGTTATTGGTAACTCAGAACTAAAAAGTCTGAATTAACAGAATGGAATGGATCTGTTAATTATTCTGTAACAGGGAAAGATAAAACATGTTTATAGATGCTTGGGAGGCGTGCTGGAATTATCATGTGCAGATACCAAGATATTACCTGACCTATAGATTGTGATTTCTTTTTTTTTTTCCAACAAAAATCTTAACATCCTTTGAGAACTGCATTTGAGATCTTATACAGCCGGAATGGGACTAACTGTAAAAAAGGAAATTAATAATTGCTAGGAGGGACCAGTGTTTGTCTTCATCATATATCATGGTCAAACAAAGGCTGTTGCAAGCCGGGGGTATATAGCTTAATATTTTGAAAAAGCTGTAACTTCAGTGTTGAACAAAAACTGAAAACAGGAAGTTTAAATGAAAATTGGGTCACTTCTTAAGTGTTTGGCAGCCAAAAGTCATGGCTCTCAAATGAGTCAGTGGAGCCCAATCTGAGTTCAATGTCTAAATGACTGTTGGAATGAGAAAGAGTATATAATAGATGGAAAAAAAACAGCAAATGAAGTGTAAGAAATTGGGGCTTTTTTTAAGGACTAAGAGGGCTCAATACTGATACTGACCACTTGGAGAGAATGGAAGTGATGCAGTTAATGTCGTCTTTTCCAAAAGGTTGTGTGTAAATATGCTTGTTGAGGACAGTCATCACAATAGCTCTTTAGTCTAGAGACTAAGCCAGATTTAAATACCATCTGCCATAGGTGAACATATTAAATCTGTGGAGTTTGCTGTGGAAGTTATTATAATCTTATATCTCAACTTAAAGAAATCATGAGAAGATATCAGGCTCTGATGCGATTTTTTTTTTTAGTAAAACTGGAAATATTTGGGAAACTACCATAAATAGGAAAACTGTACTTGAACTATATGAGCTGTTTAGTTGTTGCTTAGCATAATACCAGTCACAGGCAAATGGTGAAAAATCTGGTTAAGCATTAAAGGACAGAAATATGCTACAAATGTTGAACAACATGAGTTTATAGAAAATGAGGTATGTCGAGACTTTCCTCTTTTTTGAGATTGGTAGAAATAGTTTAGTGGTATATTGTGTTGTCTCCCTTAAAACACTAAAAATAAGGATGACCGCATTAGTTTAATTTCATCTGCAAATGGAGGGAGTCTTGTGCTTTGCTGTGGCAGCTCCCTTAGGAGTCCAGGCCCATGTAGAACCCCAACCACTGAAGAGAAAAATCAGTGTGTTGGGTCCAGAACAGTGAGGAGAGGCCAAGCAAACTCACACCTCAATTTTGCCACATTTTGGCTATTCCACAATAGTCCACAAATGTACTGTTTGTGCAGTCTCTGTATATTTAACAGTCCTGCACTGAAAGTGGTTGAGTTCAGGATACTCCATTGATCTTTGAGGAGGTACACTTCTTACTTGCTTTACTTTCCAAATCTCCCTTCTTCCCCTGTCCTTTGTATTCACTCCAACTCCATAGATGAACTTTTGTGACTCAGCTGATAGAATATTGCATGTGACTTTGAGAGTGGTGATGTTCAAGGTTTAAAAAAAGGATTGAAAGACTGGAGGGTTTCCAAGTCACTAGTGGATGGGAATCTTCAACAAACTGATGTTTTCAAGGAGTTTTGTGGCAATCTGTATTAGGCTTGATACTGTTTACCATTATTGTTAATGAATAAAGACGTGAATGTAATGTGAAATGCTGCTGTCATAACAATTGGTAAATAATGGTGGTGTCAGGTGATCATATTTATTTACTTGGATTACTTAGGCAGCTCTGTCCACTCAGAAGTGAATTAACACAGCCAAAACCAAGCAGTAAAACTAAGAAAAAGATCAAGGAACTGTCATTTTAGTGATTGTAGGTGAGTATTTGAAGACGCAGTATTGCAAAATAACAAAGCTAATCTAACTACAAGCTGTTGCCAAAACCAGCAGTCTTTTTCCTGTGTGCTCCCACTGCTTCGTTGTACAGCACTGGTTGACTTGTGGAGGGCTGGTTCAGGAAGCCAAAGTGACAGAAAAATAATCACTCTTTTAAAGGACTGATTGGCTGAACTGAACAACTGTGAGGTGAGAGGGGAAAGAGGAAGGGGAATAATAGAGGGAAGTGAGCTGCCTTTGTTGATCTAGACTGTGGTTAGATTGACTTAGCTTATTGTAAATTTGTCCCTCAGTGCAGGCTCGTGGGTGAAAAGCCAAGAAACACCCTTATTTCTGAGAAGCGGGGATATTCTCTACAGAGCATTGATTACTGAGAGCTCAAGACTTACTGACGACCCTGTGTTTAAAAAGTTAGAAAATGAAAAGAACAGTATGGAAGGATAAGAGGACTAGAGAAAACGCTGAATAGTGAAGGGCAGAGATTCTCTTTGTTTACTGTACACAGAAAAAAATCCAGGTGATTCTCATACAGTTTAGATCCTGGTTTTGGGAAGAATGATAGCAAGAAGATTGCTTAGTGGGGAAAAATAAAGGAACAAGTAGTCGCAGGAAGTTGAGCAACAAATGATAAATCACATTTTATCACTGACACTTTTATTCTAATGGCTAAATTATCATTGGAAATGATGAATTTTCTGTTTGTTAGTGTATCCAGATCAACACTGCCTGTCATCTGAAAGCTGTAAGTTAGCCAGATGCACAATATTTCGGTTGAAAACAGGCTATGAGGTTGAATGCAGAGATCACTGCAGGAAATATAACAGCCTGTGCTGTCCAAATTAAATCAAATGATTTAAGAGTCACTTCAGAATTAAAATTTTGGGAACCAAGGTGTAAAACAACTATGCAATTTGTTTTACTGTTGTATGTCCCATTTTTTCCTTTCTTCTTTTCCAGAATAAAACTTTTATTCTTAATTTTTATTTTATTCCTAATTTCTGCATCAGGCCCACAATTACAGATATGGACAGAAAACCTCTGGAGTTTTGGGGGTCTGCTCTTAGGTATGTTTTGGCTGCATCTTGTCACATTCTTTCAGTGACAGTTATGTTAGGGCATCTATTGTTGTAAAGTTTTTCTTTGGTTCAGGAGAGGAAGAAATTTGTTCTGAAACAGCAGAATTGAGTTCTCTTGAAAGTTGGGCATCTCTTGTGCAAGAATCATAACCCTTCTGGGGGGAGGGAGGAGTAAAGATATATTGTGCAGCAATAACAATGGAGTAGAAAAAACTTCTTGTAAAATATCTTATTCTTTATAAAATGATCTGATTATTCAGATTAAGTGCTAGGGTTATAAGCTGCTTGCCTTCTGATGAATTGCATGTTTAAATCGTTAACCTGATGAGACTTCAAAGTCTCTTTCAAAATGAACTTTTAAAACTACTTTTAAAACAGCTCTGGAGGTGACAGTAAGTGCAGTATCTTTCTGGTGGATTTGCCCTGTGTGTAAGAAGGCACTGTAATTTGATTTTTTTTTTGACGTTTCCTAATTTCTTTTGTTAGTCTTGCCAAGCCAGGGGCGCTACAAAAGTTATTTGATACCTGTTGTTGGGGTAATCTGGTTTTCTTGAAGGCCTAAAACCAATTCATGATGTGCCAGAAAACTGTGCTACTTGTGGAATTTAGATATGTGTATTGTATTGGATGGGAGGATATTTTTATGGGGGAAGTGAAGGAGAAAAAACTAAATCTGTGCTCTGTAGTTTCAGTTCTGTGGTATTGCAGTAAAGATAAGCAGGAAGACATGCTTAAATGTTTAACCCCTATTGCATGCAGCAATTCTGTGAAGCAGTTAAAAATGCTTTCCAGGTAACAAAAGTTTTTATTAGTGACTTCCAATATTTAATAGGGATAAAAATTGAGCAAAGGAGGAAACAGAAATGGAGCTGCAGACATAGGAAATATACTTCAAGAAATGAGTAGGATTTCATGCTACCTGCTGACAGTAGTATGTACAAGGTCTAGTCTTGTTCTATTTACCATCATTTGCAATAATGCCTTAACAGTTACTAAAAAAAATACTTGAATGCTATTATTTACAGCCCTGAAATTGATGTTCAGTGTCAGATATACACTTCTTTACAATATTGTAATTTAGTTATGCTGTCTTTCAGAACACTTCTATCTAAAAGGAAAGCTCACAGCTATAAAAGCTACTTTAAAAATTCTAAGAGTGTGTAAACAGAAATATTAAATATCATAAAATTGATCTGTGCTTAGGGAAGGGCTGGAAGTAGCGGTTTAGGACATGAGTCTTCTAATATGAATGTTAATTTCAACTAGTTTAATGTTTTGGGGTTTTTTGTTTAAATTATTTGGTTCTTTAAAGACCACAGTACAAAAGCTTTACTCAGGGAACAGAAAAGTAATAGTAAAACGTTTGACCAATGTGACTTCAGTGTTGCTTGCTCAGGAAAAAACAGAGTATGTACAGTCATGGGAAAGAAAATCATTAACATTTATCAAGCTCAACTGTTTCTTATCCATTTTTATTTTAAAAAAAATTCATGTAGACTATAACTGTCTTTACTGCCTAAATAGAAATTGTAGAAGGGTATTTCACATATTAAACTGTTGTATATATCTGCTGGGCATTGTCTGGAGACTTCTGCATTTGGTCTCTGAAATTCTTGTAATTTACTCGTAGTTGAAGTAGCTTCTGTGCATATTAGTGAAGAGTATTTTGTATGAAATTATTATAACTCTGGCAAGACTTTTAATTGCCTAGATACGCTTTAGGGAGTTATCCCTTGAAAGGAGTACTTTTGAACATCCTCCTGTTTCAGTTGCTGAGGTATCATTGGAAGGTGGATGACACATGAGTCTTACGTAACCTGTAAGCTAAGTCCTAGGTATGCAACTGGCAGCAGACCTCAAAATAATTACCTGTTGCTTGAAAACACTGTTAGCATGCTTGTGCACTGTACTTTCTGTGTGATTGAAGTGTAGCAAAAAGAAACCTTGGTTAGAGAGAAATTGTTTAAGTTTCCTGGCTGAAAAATTCTAGTTGTCAGGCTGCGGCCAGTATTTGGGTGGTTCATTGCTCTTGGAAATAGTTTGATCCAGAATTTTTGGTATGTTGAAATTTAGTATTGTGATGTCTCATCAATCTCCTGTGGAACTCAGGTCAAAATTGTTGTGGAGTGCGCAAGTCCTTCAGAAGGAAAAGATTACCAAGATCTTTGCAAATTTTATTGAATTGTATGAGAGAAGGCAAGGATTCTTTTTTAATTAGCTCGTCACAGTGATATGAAAAGAGAAATACAGGAATTCTTTTGAACTGTTCTCTAACAAAGGATATCCTGAATGAGTCTAATTTGGTTGTGAGTAGTGGGAGTTTTACATTTTTAATGTTTGGATGGATTTATAAATAGACCTGATATATTCTGTAGCCTGAATCTTGTGTTCTGTAATACTGCATACAGTTAAGGTACAGGTAAATGTTAACTAACCTCTTGCTTTTTTCCCCCCAGATTCCTCCTAATAAAATAGATTATGAATATAGTGAACTGATTTTATATCAAAATCAAGTGATGAGAGAGGCAGATCTATTTCAGGAGTCTTTAGAACATATAGAGACATATGAAAAGCAAATATGTGATAAATTAATAGTAGAAGAAATCAAAGGTAAGTAATTCTTTTTGCCTCAGACAATTTGTTCTAAACTTTTGCTAATGGCATTTAGATATGATAAAGCAGTAAAAGAAAAATGTTTAAAGTCTTTAATTGATTACTATAGGGAAACTGGTAACACCGGATTTACAGTTTTGTGCTCCAGTAACTCACCCTACTAAAGTGGATAGTGGGTGCAGGTAGCTTAAGTTGGGCTGACACAGGAACAGAAATCTCGGAGATGATTATATTGGTGTATGTTAGAGGTGTATATTGATGTATATTGCGTTCTGTAAATCACAGCTTGTATAACCAAGTTTTAATCACATGAAGAATACTGTTTGTAGTATGAACGCTGATTTTTTTTTTTGACTGAAGTGTGAAATTATTGTTTCCTTTTTAAGCTTTCTAATGCACTTGTATTGCCCTACTTAAGTGAATACTGAAGTTGACCTTTGATTTTTAAAGAGTCAGATGCAGACATTCAAATAATCTTTGTTTTCACAGGTTCTGAATACTCCAAACTGTGAGCTGTGTGTTTGGTAGCTTTAAGTAGCACTTGTAATACACATTAAATGCTTCTGGAAAAATAAAACCTTTTTCTAAGTATCTACATATGATTGATTCCAATTTTATGTATCTAGTTTTGTAAACTTTACTCCCATCCCATTAGTATTTTCTCATGTAATTCAGTTCTTTGCTGCATTCTTTTTAGGAGAGATGTTACTGAAGTTGGGAAGACTGAAAGAAGCTGGTGAAGTATACAGAGAGTTAATTGAGCGCAATGCAGAAAACTGGTATTATTACGAAGGCTTGGAGAAGGCCCTGCAACCCAGTAAGTTGAGATACACAGATACATTGAAAATGTGTGATACAGGATATACTTAAAACTCCTGTTTGATGTGTTACTGGTTTAGATTAAAAAGCTTTACTCTGCAGAAAACTATGCACTTTCTAATAGTGAATAAGATATAGTTGTGTTTATCCACTTTAATAATGTTCACTGACAAACTTGCATACATGAAAATAGCAACAGCAAGCCTTTCTCTTCTTGGAGCTCAAGGTGGAATTAGCTAATATGCTTACATGGAGAACGTTTCCTTGCCGCACATGAACTTGCAAACCAAATTGCAATTCACTCTTATCCAGTAGTTGTTCATCAGACTGCTATCATACACCACAACATAAAATTGTCATTCTGAAACTTCTTTAGGTGGTACTTATTTCTGCGAGCATGTAAAGAAATATTCAAATATTTAAATATAGCTTTAAATTTAAAGAAAGGCTTTTAAAGATAGACTACCTGGAAAAAAAAAAATCTTTAAGCTGACTGTTGTTTGGAGGGAAAGGTAAATAAATATGATAGTCTCTGTTATTACAATGCTAGTTCATGTGACTGCTGTTCTGTCTTTCCAGGAAAATAGCTAGTTGTCTCTTTTAAATTACAATATTGCAACAATTTATACTAAGTGTTTTGCAGTTGTAAGTTTCCCAAATGTCTACCTTTACAGAGGAATGATTTCCTTGTATTTCGCTGTTCACTAATTAGTAGAAGCTTTACTGGAGTTATTCTGATGACATCATAAATCATAAGCCCACAAGGATATAATTTGTAGATGTTATAGCTGCATTATTTCTTAACCAGCTTTCTTCTAGACAGTTTTACAGTTGGTTTTCATAAGCTCTAGGAATATGGCTTGTGATTTGGGAAATGAAAAGCGTGGCATTTATTACATTTATACAGAGAGTAGTTGCCCTTTGAACGCTTTTCCTGGTGTATCCATAGAGTTGAAGATGGTGATTATTGTCTCAGAAAACAAATTACCCAAGAATTGGGTAGTTTGATTATTCTGTTTGATATAACAAATATGTTGATAAAGATGTGTAGTTCTTACCGAAGAACCAATCTAGTAGTTTGACGTGTTAAAATCCTATGTAGATTAAAACTGTACTAATTTATATAACTAATAATGCTACTTTATTTTTTAGGTGGTCTTAGGACTATTTCCTCCCCCATGGTAAGTTCTGGAGCTCCAACTTGTGACTTCAATTAGGGCTTTTATATGCTTTAGTTCCAATCCAAACATTATTTTAGTATAACTTAGAACTGTATCTCTTGGAGCCACTGGGTAACATATTCCCCCCCCTTCCCCAACATCTGAGCTCAGTGACAAGATAAGTTGTTTTTCTTATGAAATTAAACCAGACATATTTATTAAATGTATATTGTGTCATAATCTTGATCTGTACATTCAGTTTTATTTAAACTGCCTGATCAATTTAAAAATATTTAAGCAAAATTGATCTTAATTATGTGAAAATGGCATTTCAAAGCAACAGATTAGTTTTGTTTAAGTTCTAACCACATTGGAGCTCCAAAGCATATTATGGGGGAAAGGGGAGGAGTGGGAAGAAAAAAATTTAACCAAAAAAAAGCTACTTAAAAGTTAAGGTATAAAAAGTTCTGGTGCTCGGTACTTAACACTGGCAGTGTTCTGCCCTGTTTTTGCTGCCACCAGAGGACGTATAATAAAAGCATGCTTGTATAGTACCCCATTTGTATACCTGTCATTAAGAAAAGCGATGTATTTCTCTGGATGTTTTAAGTATGTCTGAAACAGATGTATAGTGAAAAACAGTTAATTGAAGCTGTGAATGTTAAACTACTGTGAGAATGGGTCTACACAGCATGTAACTGAAATAAACCAAACTCTAGTACTCTGTGATTGAATGTGCAAGGTAATTGTTCTGTTTGCAATTTATCCTTACAGTGATTAATGCTGGTAGTTGTCTTCTACAAAGAGCGTGTGTTCAGTATGGTTTCACACAGTAATGTTTATGATTAACTGGAAAAAATAGCTTGAAATGTTTAATTGTTCCAAATCCAAACTGTGTTAAGAAGTCTAGCTAAATTAATTCTCAACACTTAAAAACATTTAGAAGAATAGATTTTTCTCTGTTACTTATGTCTATTATATTTACTGATAATAGGCACTTTAGAAGAGAGGCTTCAGATTTATGAAGAAGTTAGTAAAAGACATCCCAGAGCAGTTTCACCTAGAAGATTACCTTTAAACTTTGTTTCAGGTAACAAGTTGCATATCTGTTCTGTATTAGTTTACTTGGGTTTTTTTAAGTTTTCATCGGGTGGTTGAGTACACATTTAGTACCTATTTGTACACGTACACTCACCAGATCTATGTTTTAGGAATTGATAGAAAAAGTTGCTCTAATATGGTGATACCAACTATGTAATGTTTGTATTGATAAAACTACAGTATGCAATGGTTTGTAGACTGCAGAAATCATTGTACATAAACTTTCTGCCTCATTTAAGTTAAGAATCGTAAGTTAAAAGGTATAGGTGTAGTACACTTGAGTTAAAGCTATAGGGGTGTGTGTATATACACACCCCATACCTTTAATATATAAGCAAACTTATACTATTCATAAGCACTGAAAAATGTAAACGATACTTTTAACAGTCACGATTGCATAGGACTGATGAATTTCCTGACTTTTTTTTTGTAATGGTGATGTACCAGAAAGCACTAAATCTTTTTTGTGACTGAGTATCTTAAATTTACAACATAAACGAACTTTATGCAGATAATTTAATAAGAATAGGAACAAAAAGCAGATCTGTAGTGTTATGTACCACAAACTATTTTAATTTTATAGCGAAGTTCTTTCAGTGACTATCCTTTCAAAAGTTGTATTGGAATACAGTGTGCAAATATATCATCATTTCTGGGGGGAATATGTATACACTCTTTAAAACAGAAAGCCATGATCTTCCAAAGTAGAGGGAAGGAGGCTAAATGAAATGGTAAATCCCATTAAAAAAAAAAATACACTTGATATGTAGCTGTCTAACTGCTGTAGCTCCAGTAGAACACTTTTGGAAAGAAATATAAACTACACAAGTAAAAATTTTATGCCAACTAGGTACCTAAGCTCAGCTGCAAATTCCCAACGTATCTGCTCATGCGTCTAATTTTGTGAGGTTAGTTTTCAGTTTAGCTCACTTACTGAGCACTGCATATGTGTACTTCTAAATGCTACAGAGCATAGCTAGTCCGCGGTTTTTTGTTGCTCAGGACTCTGTGCATGCACCTTTCCTGTGTAAAATCACAAGATTAACTGCTTCACAAGAGATCTAGCCCTGAAGTTAACACTTGTGCCTTACTTAGCCCCAGATATTTCAGTTTCTTTGAAGATACAAGGGCAAATTTTGAGGCAGTTCATCTAGATTTGAAAAGCTAGGTGACAAGTAATTGTTTTTGTCCTGTAATAAAATTGCTTATGGTAATACACAGCAAACAGAAATAACCTGCAAAACACTTTTCCCTATCTTCATTAACAGTGTGTTTTGCTGTTGACTTCATTTCACTGTATGTTTTGCAATAGGTTACTGTATCATATCTGTTAGTGTAGCTTCACGGCTTATGTTCATTTAAATAGAAATATCTTTATTAACAAAGATTAGTTGTTCCTGGTACAGCAATACTCTAAATGAAAGCAAAATTCATTACTAAATCAGTCCAGAAAAAGCTCTCCGTAGACTACTTTCTGCGGTGTTTCGCAACAAATAAGAATTTTCCTGAACTGGAACTTGTGTTTCTATTAATCTGTTAAGCTTGTATCAGTCATAAAAGTAGAACTAGTTTTGATCCCATAGAAATTCATTTGCTAGCTTTACATCTATTTACTAAATGATTTCTTGTGTTTCTAAGTACAGCAGATGAGAAATCCTGTTAGCAAAAGTTAATAGTGAAATGTGAAGGTGTAGAAACAAACTTTTTTTGCAGAAACGTATCTGCAGATTTCAGGAGGATAGAATTATTGGTTAAATGAGGTTGCTGTTCCAGTGTTGTCACTGACCAGTTGCTTGCAACCAACACTGTTTGATTTAGAATTGGCTTAAAATACTTGAAAGTGCAGGCTTGTATTAAAAGGGCAGCCCTTCCCAGACCTTGCCAGCATTGCATTTTAATAATCTTGTATTAAATACAAATCAGCTCCTTGATTCAGCTGGAAAAACCACCTTTATGGAGGAAGGCCATTACAATAATTTTCATTTTTAGATTTGTTTATGTTGGTGTGGATTCACTGTTCCTGTGGACAGGTCTTTTCTGTGCCTCAGAGACTAAATTTTGAGCTTGGCTTCATGTCATAAGTGGGTGCATAGCTATATGTTTTGCATATTTCAGACTTTGTCTTAAAGCTGTTCCACTTTCTAGAAATAAATATGTACTTAATGGAAACTTGAATCTTGCTTTCCTAAATTCTGAATTGCAATTCTTCCATCAAGAATATAAATTAGAATAATTCAACAGAAGAAATCGAGAAACCGAGATTTGTAATTTTTTTGTTGTCATATAGGTGAGTTTCTTATAGTGCAAGAAAACATGTTTTATTTAACCCATGTGTAATAAAGCATGTGCTTATAGTCCAGTTATGGATCCCCATTTACAGGTAGGAGGAGTTTCTATGTACAACAGTTTATTTTAGTACAGTGAGGGAAGAACAGGAGGTACTTTTGTTAGTCTTAGTAACAGTGCTGATAATAGTAAGTTTAGGCCAATTAAGATTTGGTGGAAATATCTGAGAAAGAATTTTATATACAAAGCAGTAGTGTATCTTCATTTTGTGAATATCCATAAAACACTGTTAATCAAATTTGTTAAAGTGTTCTTGATGAATTGAAGCTTATTTCAACAGTTTTATATGTATATGTTAGGATTATGTGAAGTGTACTACTTCCTTGTTTAAAGACTTAGAGAAGTCCACAATAGAGTAGGCAGTGAAGGGTAGCAACTTCATCCCTATGCAAAGCAAATAAAACCAGTAAGAAAAATTTAAAAAACTGAAACAACTGAAAACAACCACTTCTCATCATAGGAATAAGAACATGAAAGCCAGCTGTGTTTTCCTGACTGGATATTGTCTCTGTGAAATCCTGCCTTTTTTATTATTATTTTTGAAACAGCATTTCTCAGAAAGGTGGCATACTGCACATACTGTAATTTTTACCTGAAAACATAATTAAATCAGATATTTAGCTTTCTGCTAGTATATTTTGATAAAGATAATTCTGATATGGTGCTTATCCTTCTGAAACCCAGTCTTCTATTCTGTTTCTGATTCCAGAAACAATCATATTATCATCGGAAGTCATGTCCTACTCATAAAAAATAGGACTAGAAGAGAGGTAGAGGGTTCATTTCATCCATCCTTCTTCCTCAAAGCAGGATAATTTATATCTGCACTATTCCTAACATACATTTGTCTAACTTAATCATAAAAACTTCCAATGATGGAGCTTTTACAAGATCTCCAAGGTAATCCATTCAAGTGCTTAGTTAATTCTTACCATTATAATTTCTTCAAATGTTTATTTAAATAGCCCTTGCTACATCCTCTGTAGCCAGCACTTTGTCTTTTTAATAGCTTTTACAGGTTTGAGGACTGTTACCATGTCTTCATCAGCAGTCTCTTAAACACTAGCAACCTAAGGATTTTACTCTGATTTTTTTTTAACATATTAGCATCTTATTCTTTAATAACAGGAAAGATGAAAACCCTTAATTGCAGTTTCTCAGTTACTCTATTATCCAGAGTTGCACAGCAATTAGTGCTTATATTTATACAACACTTGTAATCACTGACATATAACCAAATACACTTTTGTTTCTAGGTGAAAAATTTAGAGAACTAATGGATAAGTTCCTGAGGGTTAACTTCAGTAAAGGCTGCCCACCCTTGTTTACCACTTTGAAATCTTTATATTACAATCCAGAAAAGGTAAAATTTAGTATTTATTTGGTTTTAATGAAGTCTTCTATCTTGAATTTCTAATAGATTATCTACCTGTTTTTGTATAGATTTTCCTGTAATTTACCAATAACTGTTGCTGAACGCTTTTCTCCATAAGGTGCTATTTTGTTCTATGTGAATGATCACTTGATGGTGCTTAATATGTATGAAACTTCACTACTGTAGACAGTTGATGTCAAAATATTTGAAGTTGGATTGGTGCAGAATGCAGTGAAGTTCTTAAAATCAAAGATGACCAATAACTATTTTTGTGTACTTCGAGTGCAAGTGTGTCAGGATTCTTTCAGCTTATGGTTTATGATGTCACCAGAAGTCATGATTTTAAAATATCAAACAGATGGCTATTGTTCTATGTACACTTCTGAATTGCATGAATACATTATTTACCACATAGCCTTGTTTCCTGTTTCAGTCTTTGGCTAAAACTTCAGTGTTTAATTGTTGCACTTTTAAACTTTTACCAATTTTGGCAAAATTGTGTCACATTAGAACTGTTGTTTCAAGTGTAGTGCTTTGTTCCAAGCCTGTCAGTAAGGTATAGTAAAAATAAATTTTCAAGCCAAAGTTAGTTACTAAAATGTGTAGAAAATAAAAGAAAGATCAGAGATCAGTCTATTGTGATGTTGCTATCTTTGCCACATGCAATAAAACCTCTGGGTGTTCTAATCCATTCATGACTAGGTAAGAAGAGGTTTTATAGCTGGAAAAACCCCTAAATACATGATGCAGCTTTTTAACCAACATTGTATATTTCTTTAATTGGACTAAAATTACTCTTCTTTTGAAGAGGCTTTATGCCAGTTGTCCTAACATGAAATTTTCAATACGCTTCTGTTTAGAGAATGCATTCTGTACTGTCTCCGTGGTGGACATAATTTTAGTAAATGCTGGTATCATGTATAGTATGAGCTTTTCTACAGTGCCTGTTGCTAATGCATACTTTCCAATGTAAACTTTTGAAACTGGATTGAAATTTAGTATTTAATTTTTTGACATGATGGGTAGAAAAGATGAGGACTACCATGTTTTGGGGCAGGCTTATCCAGAAAGGTGCATTGCTGCTAGTTATCTTCATTGTATCAAATCAGCGCTGCTCAGAACTGCTGGCTTAATACCAAAAAGTAATTAAAATTAAAATCAAGAGCCTCAAAACTTCCAAATAAGCTTGGTTTTGTTTGCACTGCTAACTTCTGCAAAAGCGTTTTCCTCTTCTTTTTTGTTCTTCTCTTCCCAAGAGAGGGTCTCTTTCACATTCTACTTGGTTGTGCTTTCATGTAACTACAACATAACAGAAGGATCTTTGAAACTGAGGGAAACTTTAATTTTAGTCTCTGACAGTTAATTTTTAGAATTCCTAGAATTTAGGGAAAAGGGGGCAGAAAATTGTGGCAAACTTCATGTGTGCTACACCTTTCAGGAAAATGTTATACTTTGGTATCTAACTTGTGTAAGACGGTGCTTAATGCTAGCTTCTCACATAAGTTACTGGGATATTTTGACTGAAAATAGAAAGAATCGTAGCCAGGATCATGTCATATGTACAAGAAAATACATAGGAAATTACTGAATTCTCTACAAGTTGGGAGTGAACAGTTCCCCTTTTGTTTCTTTGGAAGCAGGTGTAATTTGGTGTAGTTGACTGCAGATGTATTTTAAAGTGGTATAGATATGACTTTTTAGGAAGAGCTGGGTTTTAAGCCTAGAGGGTTCCTTCTTTCTAGAAGTACAGGTGGGTCCAGGGTCTTTCATAAACCATGGTTTTGGGAGAAGGTAAAATAAGCAGTATTTACATTAGTGGAAGTGTTCTGTTTATATGTACTTGGACAAAAAAAAGTGCTGCAATATTTTATATGTAGGAAAGGAATATGTAAATTACTTAATTCAATACCTGCATGAATACAGAGGGATAGTGTGTGTGGGGGGAATGTAGCTTTACTTGCTCAGCGAAGATGAGGATTAAATTTCTCAGTAAGTATCTCTTAACACTTTGATGTTAAGAACACCTTTTATACCTGATTGGGGAGACCAAAAAGTAATGTAAAGAGGTACTGATTCTAGAGGAAGAATGTTGACTCCACTCTGTTTGGAGAGGGCAAGGACGAAAAAAAAGGTGGTTGTATAGAAGGCAAATGTAAGGCAAATGTTTGTCAGAAGTGTTCAGGAAAATGTTGTTTGTTATCTAATTGCTGTAAGTTAGTACTTCATACTAAATGTTTTAAATAAAAATTAATGGTATATTTTGATTTAAAAACGGATTCTAGTCTACTGACATTAGTTAGCAGTTTTGTGTGCAGTCTGACTCCAGGTACATGGAGCTGCAAAATTCTGGCACTTGCCGAGATCAAAGTGAGAACTATTCAGGGAGGTTTTAGAAACTCTTCAGTATACACAATTTTGACTCCAAATACCAAGGTTATAGGTTGGAAGTTATGCTTTGTATTCCAATACAGACATTGTTGTGATAAAGATCTAAACCAGATTTGCTGTACTTGTGGAAGTAACATCAGGAAATAAGTTGGGAAAAACTCTGATTTTTGGTCTGTTTAAGGATTTAAAGTTCAGCTGTGTTTTTATGATGATCAACTACCAGTGTTTTAGTATGTCAGAGTTGATTTGATCGAAGATCCTTTAAGCAATTAATAAGTTTGAAAGGTAAAATGCTCAACAAGTGATTAATCAAATCCACCAAGAGTACCCTGGAGGAACTTTTAACTTATGCATTGGCCAAACATTACATCTAACTCTTTATTTCAGCTACACTCATTTTTGTTCTGGGAATTGTTTGACAAAATCCCTCTCTGGTACTACTTTTTCCATACTTGTTACACTCAGAGTTGTTTCAGAGAGACTAGAAGTGTGTCCTATATCTCAGATTGTGATTCTTAAGGAAGGTTTTGTGCTGTTATGCTAGTCTGGTAAGTAGCATGGGAACTGTTCCTTGACTGCTTCTTGCTCTTTGTCAAGCCCGTTAGTCTGGGGGAATTGTAAATAGTAGAGGCTGAAGGGTGAGGGGCTTGAAGAAATTAAGCAAATAATTGTCTTGTGCCTAGAAACTGCACTGTCACTTAAACTTGGTCAAATGTATTGTATTGTGGATAGAGCTTTTGATTGTTAAAATGCTGTTTAAAAAAAAAAAAAAAACAACCAACAAACAAAAAACCTGACACCAGCTGTTGAGTGCACTTCTATACCATGCTGTAGTATAAAATGACTCTATTATTGAAATAATCAAAAAAAGACATTGAATTACGGGAGGACATATTAGACAAAGGCCAACTGAAAAGATGTTTATCACTTTCTATAATATTGACAACTGATTTTTCTACCCATAATGTAGATGAGTAAGGACACAAGTTTTTTTCTCAAGTGATAATTATTATTATGCTCCCTGTTCACAGATACCAAAGGCATGTGCTAATCGCCTCCTAACTTGCTACATTGGTACACAGCCAGATTCTGTGTCTTTCCAGCTGAAGAAAAGATCAGTTAGAGGGTGATGGAGACTGTCAGACTGAGTCGTACTGTATTTTCCAGTGTTTCATTCAAAACAAGTTTGTAGTACTATATGGAGTGTGTTCAGTGGTGTATCATTGCTAAAACTCAGTCATAGATCACTCTTTACTTACAGCATATTAGAGAAATCATTTGATGAAACACTGTCTTGATGGCTTTGTTCTTAGTTTAAATAAATATTTAATCAGTAAGAATAATGTTCATCACTGTATGTGTGTTTCAAATTACTCTTGAAGTAGTTGCTGTATGTTGTGAAGAAATTGGCCACGTCTTCCTTCTGTTATACGGCAGCCTCTAGGGAATGCTGTAAATATAGCCTGGGGCTTTTTAAATGAGAAAACTCTTGGTCATGATGAAGTAGTGTAAAGTGAGTGTGGTTACATAAAAGACAAAGCTCACAAATGGAAGAAGTACTGTAGCAGGTTCTACTTACCTGTTAGGGTTGGAGAAAGGAAAGGAAATGGCTGGTCTGAACAAGAGCTGAGACTGACTGTACGGGTTACGAGCGTTAAGGAACAGACTTGCATTTGGAGATGAGTATTTATTTTTCTCAATTGATCTTGTAATGTTTTGTAAGGACAGTGTCTTTGACTCAGTCTGTCAGCTAGCTAACTTCTGAGTTGCTAAACCATCTAGCAGACTCAAATATAACATAGAGGAACTCTTCTTGTATGGAACAAGCACAGGGAAATATCTTTTACATGTGGCAAAAGTCACAAGCAAAATGCAAAAAAAACCCTCTTGATACCTCTTCAGGAAAATTAAAATTCACCCACTTTCCTGCATAAGTTCTTACTGTAGCTGTGTGTATTGGATTGAGCTGATAGTGATTTCATTACTGTGTATTATGAAGCATGATTTTACCAAATGGATAAGAATATTCTTGATGTTTTTGTGGTGGTTTTAGGTGATTGCTATCTGTCATTCAGAAACAATTTGCTGTTTTCTGTCAAAAATAGAAAATTCATTCTTCAGAGGAACATGCTTTAATTAATCTACATGACTAAATTTTTAATTAGTTATCTACATTAATATATGGCTGCTAATTTGAAGGAAGAAACTAAGATGGGGAAAATATGAATATAGACTTGAAGTGTTTCTATATTCTGTTGGATAGTTTCATGTATTAAAATAAATGCCAGCGACTTCTGGTTCTTTTCATGAAAGTCTCATTTTAAAATAGCTTTTAGAATATGGAGCTGTTACAGAGATTCCACAGTAAGCAAATGTGCCTTGTCATGAGTTCAGTCACCTTCTCAAATACCAGCTTGTGCCTCTTTGTGCAGTTCCTCTTGAAGCACACTCTTGGTTCTCGCTGTTGTTCAAGACACCAAGAGGGAACCCTGTGAATGTCCTACTGCTCTGTGAAACTCTTTAAGTTCATTCCATGTTTGTTTCTTGGGATTTTTTTTTTCCCCACTTGTTAACTTTATTCAGATAATTTCTGTCACAAA